TAGTAGTCTCTGTGTTACGTATGACAATTTTTCCTTTCAGTTTTTCAGTTTTTCCTCTTTTTCCATACGATGCCAGGTAGCCAACCACCACAAAGTATTTTACTGGTCTCATGGCTTTTTCTCCTTTGCCTTACCCCTTCCAGTAACTGACAACGAAAGGGGAATTGTGATCAAAAGGGGGATTCTGGAGATTCGTTTTGGGAGAGTCCTAAGGAAGTGATACCAGATCAGTTTAGACTCGGTTTCTAAAGCTACGTCTTCATATTCCATGTATAATCAAGTCCATTTCTTGGAATTAAATTTACTTCCGTGTCCCTGCATCCAAATATATCCCATAGCCTTGATGCGTGTGTGTCCATTATCTGATGTGTCCCTTGCTCCCTTTCCACACGTCGCTCGATTCGTCATGCAACCCTCCTGTACCAAATCCAATTCTGGAATTACAGCTGTTGCAATCTGGTTGGCCGTTAGAAATGATATCTATTCTTGCTTTGGAAGTATCGTTGTTTACACAGAACTGAACCCTTCCTTGTGACAGTTTGACTGTAAGGAGGCTTTAGGGCCAATCAGTGTCTTTCACATGTCACGACCTACTGGTTTGTGACGAGATTGTCCGTCAGCGATCAGCAAGTAAAGAGAGCTCACCTGTTTTTTGATGACAATAAAAAAAAAATTATTTTGGCTTCTGATCCTTATTCTCAAACAGACCCTGGAGAAGGATGTGTACTAGTAGGTCGGTAGCTTGGTATCTTCTTTACCCAACCCAGTCTCCCCTCCTCGAGACTACCGTCGTCGCAGTTTCCACCTTTGAATCCAGCAGTACACAAACAGCGATAATCTTTGTCGGTAAAACCGCTTTGACGAGTCGCGTTGTTCTTGCAAGATCTTTTTTAACACATGCACTCCGAAGTCGAAAGGAGAATTATGTACAAGCATAATGTATACAGCAGTTTCGAGATAGGTTGTCGTGGAAAAAAGAGTATAAACGTGTAAACAGCTGTATAATGCCAGTTGGCGTAGTTTTACTTCAAATTTATCTCTCTTATTTTTTATATACATTTTTGATACAAAGAGAATAGTAAAAAAACTACACTACAAACCAAGATGTGCTTAGCTAATTTACTTTATTAAAGTAGCTGCGCTACTAATATGTGCTCTTTTAAAAAGGGAAGTAACACGGCTAATTTTTCTTATCGATTCTGCAATCCGTCAGTTGGGAAAGAGAAAGATGTTAAGCTGAAAACAACTGGATTGCGAAGTTGGATGTAAAACAGAATTTGTCGTTATGTTTACCATTCATTCGAATGGTAACGCTATGTCTGACGGTTTATATGTTGGAACCAAATATGTCTAGTGTTGCATGTTTTGTTTTTAATTGTTTAGTTTTTGGTGATAGGATTTCATTTCGCTCAGGAGGCTTAAGCGATTCTTACGCTGATAAATTTAAATAGCTCTATTAATTCTACGCGCAAGAGAAGGCGGGCGAAATGATGGTTTCATTTTGTACTTAGGATTTTATGGCTAAGGCGGTGTAATGAAACATACATCATATGACTAAGGAAGTCAATTAGAAAAAAAACATTAGTCTAACCCGTAAGAGTGGCTCTCCTCGTAATCAGCGTGGGAAATGTATACAATATAGGATGGAGACCATACACACTGATATCAAGGTGTAGAGGGTTACGTAGAAGAACGATGGTTAAGGAGTTTCTGTGAGGGGAGAGAGATGAAAAAGTAATGTACATGACGCTTTCAACGTGTCAAGTACAGAAGCTATACAGCTAGTGCTTTATTATAAAAACCTTCAGGCCCCAGTTTTCCGAAGGTCGGATAACGCTTTCCACTGGATGAATCACTATCCGGTGGATATCGCGATACGTTTTGTTTTTAATTATCCGCTGGATAGCGATTTATCCATTGGATAGCGTTATCCGTTCTTTATACAACTGGGCCTTGAAAGATTGTCAATCAGTCTTGAGTTCAACATATTTTTTCTTTGATTGCACGACCCATAGTCCTTTACAACCTCAAAATCACATATGTGTTAATGTTAAGGCAAATTCGTATGACCTAAGAGCGTCTAAATTCCCCAATATTGTATTGAAAGGATATTTCGACTTTTCTATTTATGTGTTTTCAAGACAGCAATAAGGTTAAAAAATATGGTCAGCGAACCTACGATTTACTTTGAGTTTTCTGGAGTTGGAAAAAGTCGTGAACAGAAGTTATTAGCAAGACTGAGGGAAATGCTATTTTCAAGAACTGATCATTTTCTAACTTTTGATTGACGAAAGATTTGAGACTGACTGAAAGTAGTTTCTAGATTTCAGATATAATGCTACACAATATTTAATTGATGAGTGAGGGAGTTGTTGAAGTGCGGCCGATTACGTTAAAGTAGCACTTGTAGCAAAAGTTAAAGTGCTCACAAAGTTGTAGTGCACCAACTTCAAGTTACAAAAGATTTTTTTAAGACAAAAGTTGAAGTCTACTCGAATAAAGTCATGTTTTATAATCCTCATAGTCAATTTGATTTTGTGCCAACTTTCAGTCCCAGTTTTTATGTGGTCGGTTCGTTAAGTAGACTTATTTGTGTAAATCGATCATTGAGAGAGGCTGCATCATTTTGTGACTCAGCGTGTAGGCTTTATCTTGCATTTACTCTCTTGTGAGACTGAAAGCAACTTTTTGGTAAAAAAACTGTTTATTTATTTGCAAAAGTTGTTTGCGTCCTTACACGTTTGTCACAAAGTAAATGGTTTCCCTGTTGCCTGTCGAAAGTTGACATATTATAGAGGACTTTTACGGACTGTTATAGGATAACCACATAACCCAGAATTTCCAAAAACTGAACTTTTAGCCGAGAAATGGATTTCTTTTGTAAGAAGGCGAGAAAAGGTCAGGTAATAAATGTTAGCTTAGACATCTGTTCTTTTGCTGGATATAGCAAAGTTTTACTATGTAAGAATTCAAAGGACGCCACGCAAGGCATTGCATGACAGTCCTTTAGCCCCAAATGTAAAGCTAACTGATAACTTTACCGTGGTAACACAAGGGGAGGTGGAACTTCCTCGGTTGTCGTTGTGTGTCATTCCGCAAAATGTACTAATCGCCGCAAAATGTAATAACTCACTCAACGCAAAATGTAATAACTTTTCAACGCGAAATGCAATAACTTTACTAACGCATTATGTAATGACGCAAAATGTAATAGCTCTTGAGTGACTTGTATGCTCTTAACTTCGTTGTGTTACTCATCTTAGATTACTTGAGTCAAATAAGAGATCGATTTTCAGGTTTTCTCGTTAACTCTAAAGGCAGGGTTCCCTCGCTTGTGAATTACCGCTGAAGTGTCTTTCAATTCGGTTACTATTATGATTCTCCTTTTCTCTTTTTCAAGAGAACACCATGTAAATTTCATTCTGCTCACATCGTTTTCGTAATACGTAAACTGATTAGGTGTGAGAATACAGATTGTTACTGTTTACGACGCCATTTTGTCAGGTAGGCAAATTCGATTGAAAGCGAATTGTTAGGTAAATGTCGTAAGACTTCACTCCCGATAACCGTATAAGTAAGTTCTGCTTACGAAATATTTCGTTGCATCGCTTTTAAAGTTTTCCAAGTTCATTAATTTTTTAATAGACTATCAAGTCTGAAGGTAGAAATTTTGCTGAAGGGTTGTTAGATAATCCAAAGTCATGTCTAGAAAACGTAATACAAATTTTGAGCTTCCTTGAGCAAGAAAATTTTAATGTGAATTTAACACGCCAAACATTCAAGTGTTTCGACACGATCTGTCATATTTTATCGTCTAACCAATTTACATTTGGAGCGTCAACATGTCAAGTTTTGACAACTTCGCCGTGCGTTTCGGCACTTCAGTAAAACACAGATTTTTAAACACATTGACTGCTTTTCGTCTGTAACTTAGAAAATTTCAGTCACCCTCTTTTTGTGTGTTTTAACGGTAGAAGCACACAGGAGGGCTGTAAAAACTGGACGTGTTCACTTTCGAACTTTAATTGGTTTAATTAAAAACGCAACGGTTTGTCACGGTAGAGTCTGGAAATACTGTACTAAGCCCTGAATAGATGGTACTTCTAATAGTACACATGTACCTGAGGGATGGCTTCTACCATATTCGTCTCTTGTATGAGAATCATACATAGATACTGACAGTGTTAACATTATATTGTCAGAATAAATGAAGAGTAATTTTGTGACATGAGTGATTCAAAAGCCCTTTCTGTAGACATACTGTACTGATATTCTTCAATTATTGAATCACAATAATGTAAATTACCAGTGTAGCTTTCACTTTACTTAAGCTGGTAATTTTTCTCAGACAAAGCAATCATTGACAGTAATTCTGTTTGCATTAAATAAAACTGCTCTGTACATCATGACAGTGTTGAATACATTTGATTACCCATCTCCAAAATTTGTACCAGATATGTACTTTTATCTCATTATAAATCAAAGCAATCAAACTCATAGCAACACATTGTTTGCCAGCAATTTCATCAAAGTACATAATATCACCTTAACTATATGGTGCCTTGATTGTTAGAATAGGATCAATACCATGTATAGGAGATCCACAATTTGTTTCAATGTCATTGCACACATTCAGTTTGGCACAATGACCTCTGCGGCTCGCATTCTTGTACACACTTGTTAAGGTATTACAGGTATACAAAGATAGATATTTGCTCAAAGAGTCTCCACAAGTCAAAAATTTTCTATTCAGTGCTGACTGTTTAGAATGCCATTTCTTTCTCATCTTTTGTACAAATTGGATACTGTCATTACTGCCCCTTTTTCTGAGTCTGCATTTGATGTAGCAATACATTTTTGATGAGATAGGAATGTTTTTAAGAATTCCCCCGCACATCAGTTTCTTTATTTATTTGTTTTTACGTGAAAGCTTTTCTATTTTTTTTTTTATTGGCATTCTGCTATGCTCACGATCGAATCGTCTTCGCACATGTACTCACCACTGTTAACGATTAACAAACACCGCAAGATGAGATCTGAATTCTTTTGCATAACTATTTCTTTTACAACATTAACATCATTTTGTTGTGCACACAACGCTGATTCGTCACACTTTTGTTCTATGCATGGCGCTACTTTGTCCAAATTATACATCATCACATTCACTTGACACCGCGTTATTTGGTACCAAACGAACATTCCTGCATAACAAAAACGTGAATTTAATATTCGCACAAAAGCGGCATAACCAATGGAACGAACAGAAAAATAACAGCGGATAATATACAGTCGAACCTCGATTATCCGGACCTCGATTATCCGGACTATTCGATTATCCGGACTTTTTTCATGAATATTAATTAGTTGTGATCTTGAAAACTCAGAGTCGCAAAAAGGCCAATAATCCTTTCAAAAGACTGTTGAAACAGCGTATTATCCTGTGCGCTTTTCAAAATTTCGCAAGTGCAACGAGATAGAAATATTCTGATGCGTTATCTGCAAATACATACAGGCTGTGTAGATATCACAAATAAATGATGTTTTCTTTGCGGTATACCTTTTGTTTACATTTCTATCTCATTAATACTAATAGTTTCGATTATCCGGACTCTCGATTATCAGGACTATTTACCGAGGTCCCGACGAGTCCGGATAATCGTGGTTCGCCTGTACTCTGTTTGAGCAAAAGCATAACAAATGTAAGCTTAATAATCACGACAAAGGTCACATAAATATAACAATTACGTTTATCCTCACTCTGATGAAAGTCCGACACTGCATCTTTGTTGTCGTTTCCCATAGTTTGATCCCGAGGCACCTTGTATTTATCAACAAATGTTCTCCTGTCACTCTGTCCACATCCACATTTCAGTGTTCACTGATAACTCATTTGATTCTGGTTTGATTCTAGAGAGACCTTCGCTAAATCATTTGATTCTTTTACTATTTTGAGTTCGCGGAACGACCGGTTCGAAATATACGCTCATTACACGCGCCATCTTTTAGAGTGGGTCTACCGCGAACGGTGTGTGGGTCTGTATGTTTGAGCGTAGAAAAGATGACACAAATTGTTAACACATTCGACATATCCGCCATCTTTGAAATCGTGGAAAAAGGTTGCGCTTTTATTATTACGTGACTGCGGTATTCCCACTTGCATGTGACAGAGTTTTGTGGAGAAACCCGATGGTAAACCTATAGTCGTCGCCCGACTAAAAAGTATTACAAACTTTGTGTCACATTTTGTGTTTTTCGATTATCCTTGAAGGAAGTTATTACATTTTGCGTTGTTACATAATGCGTTAGAAAAGTTATCACATTTTGCGGCCATTGCTATCACATTTTGCAGCGTAACAGTTGTGTTTTGTCGTTGCGATTATAAATGATCACTAATGACCTGCCTTTGACTCTGAAAAATTCCCTACGCAAAAGAAACGAGGGACCTGTAATGATATAAAGTTTAAAATAACAAAGGTAACTCGCATATAAATCAACAACTATTTGCCGAAGGTGAAGTGAATATTATTGATATTCCCCCAAAGGGCTGCGAAGATTTTATAGCTAGAAGTACGCGGTTGTTAGTGAAACACGTGACGGCGTAACGGGTAACGGAGTAACGAGAAACCGCGTAACGAGATTTTTTTTTAATGTTATTTCTCTTTTTGTAATTTTTATTTTATGTTATTATTTTTTAAAATTTTATTCTCTTTTTTTAAATGTGAATATTATCATTCGTGTTTGGCGGGGTTTTTCCCCGCCAATTTTTTCTTATGTACCATCAAATTAAGTATTCAGTTTTCACTTACCATAAAGCCTTCTCTCCCCAAGAAAAATGACTTCTGCGGAAAATCGTAAACGCAAGGTGGTAGTATTGAAAAATTGCGCGCCGGACGCAAAAACATTTAAAAACTCCAGTTACACGGTTTCACGTTACGCCGGTAAGCGTTTTACTAACAACCGAAGTACGCCCGAAGGCGGGCTTCGTTTTGTTATTTGATAAAATTAACTTTAGGAGTGAGGGGGTGTACGATTTTGAATTTCCATGATGTGTCATTGACCAGTTTTATCGAAGGGATTATTTTAATCAATTTCATTTACGTCTGAGAGACATATTTAGTGAGATACTTTTCTTGTCTAGCCAATGCTACAAAATTGTCATTGTTACTATCATATTACTAATAAATACTGTTATTTTTTTTACCCTTGTGTTACGTATCTTTTAACAAAGTGACTCTTTACGAAAAGCTTCAAACATTATACATTGGCAGGCTGGCTCTTTGTAATCAGGGCATCATCATTTGGATGATAATTGTATCTAAAAATGCTTCAATGAATAATCATTAGCAAACTGTGAAATCATGGAAGGGAGATCAAGCGGAGACAGATGAAGACTGAGACAACAAGAAAAAATATATTAACTAAGTGTTACAGCGACCCTCTACGAAAAGGTTTTAAAATTATACATAAAGATTGTTCTTGCTTAACAGGGCGTCATCTTTTGTATAATAATTATATCTAAGAATGCTTACATTAATGTAACTAAGTATGTTGAATTGTAAAATAGAAAAGGAGTTCAAGCGGAAACTGGATTACTGTGCTTAAAGTACATGCTGAGATCCCTCATGAAGAGCTGTTCACTACGTGTTGCTGAAAACTTTTGTTCTGTTCTCTGTCCAAGGAATCTTTTAAAAGGTTCTTTGGGCAGAGAACAGAACAAACGAGTTAAAGAGGGGAAAAAAATTAAGTACTTGACAATGAGGAGACAAAAATTGAAGTCGTTTTCTCATTTTAAACTGATTGCCGTTCAGACTGAGATTATCTTACATGCATGTGTGATGGGTAAACCAGGCAAAGAAGAAGCTTCATTCTTCTGGCAACTCTCACAAGTTTCTAGAGAAAGGAAAGACAATAAAAGAAAAGATTCTTGAAGGACCAAACGCAGCAAGACATTCCATTGGTGTTTCCCCTTTGCACATGAAATTTTAGACTGTTAACCACTTATACCTATTCCATTGGTCTGATATATCTTAGGGGATTACAGTAGGTGTAAGCCACTATCCATTCAATTACCTGAAGGGCTTTTGTTCTCCCATCCCCCTTCTTATCCTGTTATCTCCCCCCCCCCTCGCTGGACTAACAACGAAGCGCTTTTGTCTGTCGCAAATTGCACTTTTTTGGGGGAGGAAGGGGTGGAAATCCTATCAAGACGAAACAAGATAAGATTTTTTTTTAAGACCTCTTTTGCTACATCTACTTATATACAAGTCCTTTAGGGTTGGCTTCTTGTTCATTTCTTGAAGATTAGATGAATTTCCTTGTCACTGAACCAAGATGTACCCCATGGCTTTAATGTGTTTTTCTCCATTTTCTGAACGGAACTTTGCTTCGTTCCCACACGTGTTGGATTCGTCTCCATACCCACCTGTGCCAAAGCCAATTCTGGAATCATAAGTTTTGCAATTTTTATTTTCGTTGGCGATGATACCGATTCTAGCTTTGGAAGATTTTTTCTGTATCGAAGTGGGATTGAACCCTTCCTTGTTACAATTTAATTGCAAGGATGCCTCGGAACCAATCAGCAACTTCCACGTGTTACGACCCAGTGACGTGTCACGATATTTTCCGTCCGCGATCAGTGAGTACAAAGAGCTGGCTTGCTTTTGGACGAGAATGAACCTGGACAGATTACCGATCTTCATCCCCAGACAGATCTTGGTGAAGGATGTGTTGCAGTAGGTCGGTAGCTTGGTCTCTTGAAATTCAAGCCCAGTCTCCCCTCCTTGAGGATTGAAGTCACTCATGTTACTCCAGAGTTGCGAATCGAAGTGGATGTAGATGGAAAAGTTGAAATGAGTTGAATGATGATTTAATTCATATGCAGATAACAACTAAAACGAGGAGAATGGTTCGAAATATTCCACAGCGAGACTGGGGAACGTGATTTGTTTAGTTTACGAGAATTAGAAGCCCTCGACATTGAGTCTCTAACATCTTTTTTACGACTGCTTATTTTGGATCGTTCTTTCAGGTTGTTAAATATAAAGGTTAAAGGTATAGCCGAGTTGGAATAAAAATCGTCTGAGATCGATTATGACTTTGTTCTTTATGACTTTGCAAGTCTACACTTAGTTCACGCAGGCAATCTTTGGGGCATCCGCCTTCAGTTCACGCCAGCCTTTGCATGGTAGATTCAAAAAAGCAAAGTGCCATCCATGTAGTAGTTGCTTCTGCATGGTAAATATTTTAGTCATAAATTTGCTGTCGTCCAAGATGGTATTAGAAGGGAAATTAAAGAAAGTCTCGATGCATTAAAAAAAAAGCGGAAACGGATTCCTGCCAAAAGTTATTATCCAAAGACAGAAGGGAGAAGAAGTACAATATACATAATAGTTTTAGAATAATGGATACTGGGAATATTGTGAACAAACCCGTAGCTCAATAAATTTTTATCACATTGACGTTTTAAATAATCTCAAAGATATTTCGATCGTTTTCTAGGTCTTTCCACTTAGAGCTTGAAAGAGTTTTTTTACGATTTTACAAGCATCTTCATCCTCTCTAATCTCTCGTCTGACGATGATGATCCCTTTAGGGCGACGTAATGTAGAAGGTGCAATTATGGAGGTGGTAAAAGTTATGGAAATTTTGAATACTGCACTTTGTGAGTATGATGACCATATTAGGAGATACATTCCCCACATGTAGCGCATAAAGATGATATCTCCTTTTGTCAAGAAGTCACATGTCAAATTTTCACTTTTAAGTAAGACATTCGACTCACGAGTAATAGTGACGAAAGACAAGATACCTTGTTGCCGTCCATTTTCATTACCATCGTCCATCCACCACCCCCGCAGCCCTCAAGGTCATCTGTCATGTGACAGTAAACGTTGACCTTCCCATGATCCACTGGAAGTTGATAAGCTCTATTCTCCTCTGACCTAAAGTAAAGCAGTTTTGATCAAAAATAAGACACAAACAGCAGTGATAAACATATTGAACTTGCACATTTTGATTATGACTTGACGTTTCGTATGTACTCCACATACATTTTCAAAAGTAACCGTTGAAATTTAAAACAGCTATGTATATCTAATTAGGGTTAGGGGACTGTAACCAAGATTAAGCAAAAAACTTAACAATAAACAATAACATTAGAACAGATTAATAAAGCAACAGCTTTTCACTTCCGACGTTCACGTTGAAAGTTGGCTCAAGTTCTTGAATAAGTAAGGACTCTTTGATTTTACAATGGTAGTCTGTTTTGCCTTTTGCCAAAATATCAAAATGATCCCAGTTGATATTATGTCCAGTGGCCTTGACGTGGTCGGCAATGGCTGAAGTATTGTCATTTTTTTTTGAAAGGACCTTAAAATGTTCGGTTTCTCTATCGTGAAGCCGTCGTTTTCTTATTTTTGATCAAATTACGATGGCCCTAGAACAAAAGCGTTTACGATAAAGCAGTTTTTTTTTGTACTTGTTAATAATTTGCAGTAAATGGTTTGAACCCGGGGGTAACATGTGAAGGTGTAGTCTGATCGTCCGGGTGAGTGTAGTCCTGAGAAGGACTGTTGTCGGTGGCAGTGACTGACGTTTCGACAACCTGTGCGGAAGTCATCATCAGAGTCAAGTGAGTGATTGTTGTCAGTAGAATGTTCTTATTCCAGTTCGTGTGAAATGATCGGTTGGTTTTGCCGTGATGTTATTGGCTGTAAGACTCAAGTGACGTAAGTCGTTCGTGATTGGTCTGTTTCGGTCTGTCGGTAAAGCTAGGTTGTTCTTTTTCGGTCGTTTGTGATG